AACAATCAAGTTGGACTTTTTTTCCTATATTACCTTCGGCGGATAGTTCTTAAACATCGGGAAGTGATATGTTTAATATCTAATATGCATGCGGGGATCCTTTCTGCTGTGAACATAGAAGATTTTGGGTGGCATCCAGCACACGGTTATCATCGCATTTGTCTTCGCCATGTTTATAGTAATTTTAATACACAGTTTAAGGATGAATATTTGTATGATCTTATGTGGAAGGCTGGCAAGGCGAGACAGGTTTGCAAGTTTGATGATTTGATGACCCAGATACGCGATGTCAGAGAGGAAGCGTATAAATACTTAATTAATATACCATTGAAAAAGTGAATATTAGCCCATGATGGAGGACGACGATACGACATTATAACAACTAACATTTCAGAGATTTTTAATAGTATTACTATATGCTCCAAATAGTATTTGACATGGTTGCAATTGCATTTGGCAGGGAGTTAGACCACAACTAAGCGATCTAATGTATTGTCAAACGAATAATACCTATCAAATGAGTATATATCTGATGAAAATTAACAAATAATATTTATTGTCCACCTTATTAAGCATATAACATTTATGTCTACGTCCTATTTACTTTAATAAATATTGTGGCTTGATCAGTTAATTCAGTGTATTGTCATATCTTAACTTTTTCATTGTCACATCCTGTCATTGTCAAATAAGTTCTGAACTTTACAGTACCATGTCCTATTTACTTTAATCAGTCTATGTAGTGTGTTGTCATATTCCAACTTTTTTATTGTCATTTTGCATCACAGTCAAATCAGTTCCAAACTTTGCATTGTGATGTCTTTTTACTACAATTTTAAATTGCCAACTCGATCATATATATACTACATTTCACAATTGTGTAAATGCATCACTACCAAACAAAATGTATAGGAGCACATCACATGCAAGTTCTTCTTCACGCAATGACCAAAATAGTTCATTTTCGACTAACAAACGTGAACGCTCAATGGACAGATCAACATCGCTGAACAAAGTTCCTTCTATTGAATCATATATTGATTCTAGTGGTGTAACGTGGTATGAACGAAAACGTGCATTCCGCAATGAGCCCATCGACCCTTATCACCCATTCAATCAAGCTGGACATGTAATTGTTGGACCTGCAACTGATTATTCACCTCTAGGTGTTCATATCGAACTCACATTAAGATGACGATAGTTATATGACAAACGTTTATGACCTTGAAATATTTTGTCGTTGACATAGAATTGCGGTACTAAAGACACGTTTGACTGATATTTATAATTCATAGAATTCAAACAATCATGACGAGGTTATATTAAGGCTTGAACGTGAAAATGATTAAATGCAGTATCGTTTTGATCATTTTCATGCACTCGATTATACACGAATAGAGCATTTTGATCCTGAATATGTTGAAATTGAAATTTTAGAGGATCTGTTACTTATTTCTGGTCCCCAAACTTTCTGATTTCTCTGATTTGGACGATAATGCGCCTGATACTTTTATCCCATCATGTTTATATGTATTCGATAATCCTTTATGTTGTTTTGAATATTAACCACATTATTGACCTTTTTTTTTTACATGTATACGCTCCGAATAACTTAAATTTTTACACCTCTTAATAAACATTATTTTTTTTTGTGTATGCGTTTAAAATTATATGATAAAATGAAAATTAATTATATGTATACATTTTCAATTTTTAAAGTTTGTTATGTTCTAAATTTAAGTATTTTTAAATGATCAATATTTATTTATTGAATGCAATTAAATTTTTAAATAAATGAAAAAGAACTCATCCTCTAAAAAAGAGAAGGATAAAAAAAGTTTTAGGTATCACTATTAGGGAGCAAGACAACATAATGTCAGTAGGACCCACTAAAATTGTAGTATTTTTTCAATTATCAAAATTTATTTATTAAATATAATTAAATTTTTAAATAAATGAAAAAGAACTCATCCTCTTAAAAAGAGAGGGATCAAAATAGTTTTAGATATCACTATTAGGGAGCAAGACAACAAAATGTCAATAGGACCCACTAAAATTGCAGTATTTTTTCAATTATCAAAATTTATTTATTGAATATAATTAAATTTTTTAATAAATAAAAATTAAACTTTGTTCTCATACAAAAAAATTTCAATAAACACCTCATTTTGTCTGACGTTTTTAGTAAACATGTCGATCGAAATCAATGTGCATAGGAAACGTCAGTTGGACTGACGTGTTTACTAAAAACGTCAGACCAACTGATGTGTTCTAGTCAAAGTAAAAAACGTCAATTGGTCTGATGTTTTTGGTAAACAAGTCAGTCAAAATCAGTGTCCATACAGTTGGACTGACATGTTTACAAAAAATGTCTGACCAACTGACGTTTTTTACTTTGACTAGAACACGTCAGTTGATTTGATATTTTTAGTTGTTGGGCTTGGGCCATAGTGTGACTAGAACGTGTCACTTGGTGTTATGTTTTTAGTTGTTGGGCTTGGGTCATAGTGTTCCACCAAAAATATTATTTGGTCTAACGTTTTTAGGCTAAACACGTCAGATTAACTGACATCTTTGGACTTAAAAACGTTAAACCAACTGACTCTCAGGCTTTGGAAAATGCTTTCAAACTAGCCATCTTTTGTGAATAATTTTTTAAAACCCCTTGGCTTGGGGTAAAACCTCGGTCAACCCAAGTGCAACCCAATATATAAAACCTTCAACCGACTCAACTCAACTTAAGCAAATTCAAGCCCGAGCCCAATCGGTGATTAAGTTTTCAAACTCGGGTTATATAATTCGTATTGCAATTCAAGTTAAACTTGGATTGGAATCGACTTTTTTAGTAATCAAAACCAAATTGAACCAAAAATAGGGTTCAATTTTGTGTTCAAACCCAAACTTGAACATAAATTCTATAAATTTTGCATTAACCAAAACTGAATAGAAAAAAAAAAAGAAAAAAACTTCACATTGCATTAGGGTTCAAACGTCAAACATCAATAATAATGATGGAAGGGTGCGACACAGATGCCTTAACATCTTTTACATATGTGTGTCTGTTTAATTTTTTATTTTTATTTTAAATTCTTGAATTGAATTGGGATTAAACTCGATTTTTTAAGTTCAAGTTAAACCCATCAACCTAAAGCCCCAACAGCAAATTCAAATCGGGTTGATTTTTTTTTTTTTTTGGCCCACATACTGAAAAACACTCAACTCAGGGTTGAGGGAGGGATACAGTTGTTTGCTTTTTTTTTTTTTTTTTGGAGGGGGGGGGTGGTTAATAATAAAACAGAAAAAAATTGATGTCTACCTTCGTCAAGCTACGTTTGGGCAAGGACCTTCGCAAAGTCAGCATCTCATTGTTAAAATTTCCTAATCTTACTTGGAAGATTAAGAGATGGTGAAGATCGAGTGTTAGTCCAGCGGGCAATCATTCATGCCACCAAATATAATCTATTAAACAAAAACACAGTATTAAGCAAATGCTCCTCAAAGGCAAGTCAGTCCTAGCAAGATATGAATCTGTACCAAAGAGCAGTATATGTATCATCTGGCTGTTGGACCACAGGCTCATGACAAGTCGGGGTTGATCACATGATTGGTTTCCTAGAGATAGCAGTTGAAGGGGTGATATGCTACACCAAATAGACGGGCACAGTGAGCTGACCTTATTTATCATAAAAGAAGATGCTTCACTACCCATATATTTCTCTAGTTTCTAGTCATCCACAATGCAAAATTGTGTGTGTGGCGCCGTTGTTTGCCTGAGCCTGTGAAGCGGTAGAAATGACCGCTACCATTTTACACTCAATCAAACGGACCCTACCTAAACTACCAAAAGGGCTTCGATTCAAGATTCTACCAAAGATAGCTTTCATTGCGCAGGGCTGATTCGGCTTGGGGTGGAGGTTTTGGGCTTGAGCATTCCCGACCGCTTAAGGTGTGATTTAGTGATTGTGTGGTTAGCTCCCTTCTATACCCAAATTTGTGTGTCTGGCAGTGAGAAACTAGCACAGTGAAAACTAAAAACACAATCAATAGAATTTATTCGAAAGAGAACATTGGTTTTTTAGGAATCAAAGAGTCACAGAGTCAAAGCCAAATAGACCCAATAAGGTATCCTACTTGGCAATCAGAATTGAATTCAAAATACAATAGTCATGTTCTGAAATTCTAATTCTACAGCAATTCCAAATTCCAGATGCAAAAAGGTTTGAGAATTCTGCTGCAAACCACTCATGAGTGACTCACCAAGTTCATCCAATATTCCACCAAAGCCACCCGATTTACAGCCTGTTAATCTGCCACTAACACAGCCTACGTATGCTTGTCTCTTCACGCAAACATCCAAACCAGTGTTAGTGGAAGAACTAGTGCCCAAGATTGAGAAACCTATTGTATTTTATGAGGGGGAGCCTTCTTTTTACTTCACTAATTAGGAGATCAAACAATCTTGCTTACCTTTGCAATATGCATTAATAGGCAAGTGTGCCTATGGTAGACCAAGTATAGGCGTGATTAGAGAGGTGATAAGGTCTAAATGGGGTTTGAGAGGTGAATTTGAAATTGGTTCAATAGATCCAAGGCACGTGTTGATACGTTTTGAAAAACAGGAGGATTATATGAAAACGTGGTTGAAAGATGCTACTATCATAGAGGATTATTTATTCAGATTCTTTAATTGGTTTCCTACTTTTGTATCAAGGATTGAGCCATCCATTGTGCCGATGTGGATATCATTGCCTGGATTACTTCTTAATTTTTTCAAGAAACAGTTTTTGGATTTGCTGGTAAAACTCATTGGCAAAGTTTTGGCATATGATCAAGCAACACTCTCGTTGTCTAGGCTGGGGATAACAAGGGTATGCGTGGAGGTCAATATACTTGCCAACAATCCAAATAGAATTTGGATTGATATGGGAGTTGAGAATGCAAGATGGCAATGGATAGTATATGAAAGGAACAAGAAATTTTGTAAAAGTTGTAGGAAACAGAGCCATGAGGAACTTGAATGCAGGAGGAAGAAGTCAATGGAGCAATTGATGGTCTCAGAAGGAAAGAATCCAGTCACAGAATTAGCAGAAGGTGAAAAGGAAACTAAGGACAAGAGCAATGGAAAGAATTTTGTAGAGGCAAGTGCAGAGCAGATTAAGGAGAAGGAAATAATGCAAAATTCAAATTATGGGAAAACAAATAAGGAAACAGCATATCAAGGCAAATCTTAGCCGCAGTTAAAGCACTCAAAGCCAGCACATCAGTGGAGAGGGAAGAAGCAACAACAACCTAAGCAAGTCAATAACCCAATAAAGGAAACAACAGTCTCTTTTGGCAAGGAAATATCTTCGGTAATTATAGTAGGTGATATGGAGAAAAAGAAATTTTTTACAAGATTGGAAAAAGGGTGATCATTTGGGTAAAGATAAAATAGTGCAGCATGGAAAGTATATTCCTCCAAAGGAAAGTGTGCAGCTGATAGATTCTGAGAATCCTACGGCATGTGATACACCTTCTAATTAGAACAATGTAGCCAATCCTTTTGATCAAAACAATGATGTCAGTCCTCCTGATCAGAACAATGAAACCTATCCTTAGGCAAAAGATTCAGATAATCCACCATTGTCTAAAAGAGATTCGATACTAGAAAAAGAGGATCATGAACAAAACTTTATGAACACCAACCAGCACTCAAAAATTCAAAAACAGCAAATTGTAAATGAAATCAATGCCACTGATCAAGAATTAACAGAAAATCAGGTTACATCAGGCTATGATTCTGCTGCATATAAGTTGGTTAATTTAAATGATAAGGAGGATGAGAATGGATTTTCTATTTCTTCTGAAGATGTCTCGGACGATGGGATAGACGAGTTCTCTTCCTTGTTAGATTATGATCACTACAACAAAGATTTTGAATACTTAACAGTGGAGGCCGGGGAGAAATCAAAGTCCATTACTCCAGAAATTATGGCAGCAGTCCATAAAAATATTCATAGTCAAGGAGAGATAATTCCAAGCATGTCAGGGGAGGAGATTCAAAAAGCCTTGAAGCTAAGAGGAGTTTATTCAAAGGATGACTACTTTATGAGGTCCTCTTTTCATGAGCAATCAATGGGTTTTTACTCTGATGGGAAGGAGGCACCAGTAGTTCAAGAAAATAATTTAATTCTTTTATGACATCTTCTAAAAGGTTACTGTCAATATGTAATAAGGTTGAGATACGGAAGAAGAGAAAAGAGGAGGAGTTGTTTGCTTTGGTTTTGGCACTTGATAAAGTCAAACCTATAATTATGACAAGATCAAGAACATTCAAGTTGTCAAAGCCAAAGAAATTCTATGGATTTAGATATTATTAATTTTTTATGGATTGGTTCTACTTAATGAGGACTTCTGCAGCCACTACGTTTCCAGCATTTTGTCTTTTAGCATTCTTATTATTATCTTTCAGCTGGGTTATTCGAAGAAAGCAGCAGATTAATGTTCAGCTGTCCAATACCGTTCACGATACTGTTCACCTAACTTTCTGTTGGACTGTCAGCTGACTCATATCCTCTGAACTCTTTGTTAGCTGTAAAATACAACGTTTGAAGTCATTGTTAAGACTTTATTTTGTATTTAAAGTTCTTTTATTATGTAAGGGGAAAGATTTATGTCCTCTCCTCTCTTTATAATTTTGTTATTAATAAAATTTACCCTAAATGAGTTTAACTTTAAACAAAAAAAATAAACCGGGATGGTGCTGTTAGATACTTCTGATCAATAGAATAGCAAGAGAAGTCAACCAAAAAGAAAAATGCGAGAAGTTCATATGGCAGAGCACAATGAGATTTATCATCAATATGATGATGGGAATGGAAACCAGAAGCACGACTGGGGTCTTCGTGGTCCAAGATAATGAAACAGGGGGGCAGCACTAAAACGGAGTACCAATATGCAATACCATTATCCTACTATTAAGACCTTTGATAGGCAGACAGATCCAACAAATGCAAGTTGACTGTACTGAACAGATAATTAAGATCTTTGTCCAACATAAATATAGCAGGCAAAATCTCAACTAGAGGTAACAAATATACATAGATAGATCTCATGCCTTATTCTGTGAATAATTGGTCAAAAGATAGATTAAATTACCAACAGTAGATCCTCATCAGTACAAAAGGATTTTAGGGCATATTCTACACAGCTTGATGTGACCCTCTCATGTTTCCTGCACAAACATTCAAAGTTATTTCAACTATCATTAACCATATCCAAGTTAAGAATATAGCAATGGGTGGACAGGGGGAAAAATTAAAGAAATTCAACAAAAAACCAACATGTACTACACAAGCAAGCTCAACTAAAGACGACAAGGAATCAACTAGATCTGAAGTACCAACACCAATTGAGTTTGGCAATGTTTTGAGAAAGGAGAAACCGAGCTTTGTTGTTGTTGGGTGGGCAAGGTTGCAGATGTGACATAAAGAGGTATTACTGAACCGAGGCAGAATAAGGGAATTGTTAATAAAAAAGCAACAAAGGCACTGAAGCAAAAGGAACAAGGATGTAATCTGTCACATATCACAAAATATGAATGAAAGAGGCAATTTATTGCTCCCTGAAGTTTTTTCTCGAGAGAACAAANATAAAGGCACTGAAGCAAAGGGAACAAGGATGTAATCTGTAACATATCACAACATATGAATGAAAGAGGCAATTTATTGCTCCCTGAAGTTTTTTCTCGAGAGAACAAATTACAAAGAGACAAGTCCACCGAGCCTATGTAACGTAATTTATTGCAAGTAGTTATATTCTAGATTGATCACACATCAGATACAACATGAGTCGTAATCCAATGAGTCCCAAAAAGTACCAAGTAATGTGACATTAAAGCACAATGGAACCAATTTAGGATGCGTTTTGCTGAGCAATTTCCTTGAAGCTATATACAACTAGATGAGTTAATTTCAGTTGGCATTAGAACCCATCACCTGTTGTATTGAAATTCCGGATTTTGAGAAATCTTCTGTTTAGTGAGGCAGTTTTAAGAGGTTTCAAAATAGACATTGGTGTACAAATTGATGCACTTTCAAGTTTCAAAATTTTCATGTGTTCTCCTATTTTCCCCCACCAGTCCAGCTCTCTAGTTGTCAGCCCTTTGACAATACTCCATAAGTTGATATCCATGTTAATTTTTTTATGCTAAATTAGTCAATCTGTCACCAAAACTAAGACGGATTGAAAGCGAAAGATGATGATTAAATACATAGAGCTGGCCCAATCTCGAATCTCAAACTCACCGGTAACATCATTTTAGCCACAAATTGCAACATGGTGACCTACAAAAGACATCAGCCTAACTAATATGAATATGTGTGCTTTGATTATGAGGGGAATATGGCACAGCCAATTCCAGATGAGATAACAATGAAGCCATGCATCTATAATACTCTGAGAGTTGGATAGCTTGGATAAATAAATAAAAAAAGATTCTGAAAGGATAGTTTTTTTTTTTTGCTCGTGTAAATAGAGATAATAAGGGGAAGCGTACTTTAAAGTATTTCTACTAAAGAGTAATCCTACTAACTAAATCTAGAAAAGGAAAGAAAAGAACTAATGTACTGTCCAGGTGACCTCCTGTGTTCCGTGTGGATGGGCCTCTTGTTACTTGAGCGCAATTCTTTTAACTACCTGTGGAAGATGATCTGCAAGAATAATTCATTCCCTTTTTGTGGAGAGTCCCCATTTAGCAAGGGCATGTGCAGCTTCATTATCCTCTCTATACACGAGTCAGGCTCCATTCAGGGTGTTGTTCCAGCAGTTGCTTCGTATCCTTTGTAAATTATCTCGATGGGCCAAGGGATTTTATAGCAAGGATTTATGNCTCTCTATACACGAGTCAGGCTCCATTCAGGGTGTTGTTCCAGCAGTTGCTTCGTATCCTTTGTAAATTATCTCGATGGGCCAAGGGATTTTATAGCAAGGATTTATGGCAGCCAAAACCGTTACTTGAGAATCACTTTCCACCCCACCATAATTCCATTCCTTCTTATGTGCCCACATTGCTGCCTCTCTCTAGCTGCAAAAGCCTCTGCTACCAGGGGGTTTTCCTCCTTTACTGCCTTAACATATGCCTCCATGACTTGACCTTGTTGCCCATTCCTAGCAATTGCTGAGATATGAGATTCCTTTTCCCCCATAGCTGCATCCACATTGCTTTTAATTTCCCCATCCCAAGACCTAGACCATCATTTTTGTGCATGATTCCTTGCTGCCATCTTTGTAGTAATAGGAGGTTGGGCTCTTACTTGGCTACGTTCATTGAAGACATTTGAAACTTCGTTAAGAATTGCCATCGGGTTGGGCTTGGCATCTCTGTAACAGATCATATTCCACTATTTCCACACCGTTGTAATTAGAACAACAGCGAATAAAAGCAGCTTATTGAAGTGTGGGGCATCTGAACCGAAAACCAGTGTGGGATTAAGAATATTGTGAATCCAATCTTGAAGAGTGAAGTGGGAGAAAGGTTCAGTCCTGAATCCCCAAATCTGGAACCATATTAGCCGAGCTATATCACATTTGAAAAATAGATGAGATTCCGTCTCCACAGCTTGGTAGTTCACATCACTAATAATACAGAAGAAAGCAGATGATGGCCAGATTTTTAATGCATAATTTGGGAAATTTTTAGCTTTAAATAAGTTACTGTTAGAGCACTTCCACATCAAATTGGATGCTTTAACAGTTATTTTCATATTTTTTATTGCAGCTTATTTAACCTAAGATAAAAATAGCTTAAATACACTGAAAAAAGCTGGTTTTACAGNAAAAGGATAGCTGTTACAATGCCAACATCTGATAGTTCAACAATTAAGCAATGAACAGGCCTAAGTTTCATCTGGCATACAGAACTAATCATTATTAATATTTTTGAGAAATTATAACTTAGCCTTTAGAGAATTTGTAAAATCATGGAAGTTAAAATTATTATTCCACATAAAAGGGAAAAAATTAAATCTGATATCTGAAACTACCCATGTTTTAAAAACAAAGACACCACTTTAAAACAGAGGACAGACCAACTGGTAAACAAATCAAGCATTTATAAAATATGCAGACTACTTTGAACCAACATTACAAGCCATACAACTTCTGTATGTCCTGGTATTATTACCTAATGTTCTATCATTATGATACAGTGAAGTAGGAAAAGGTAACTGAAAATTTTTGCAATAAATGTGCT